GCCAGGCTTACATGGTGTAACTCAGGGTTACATGGTGTAAAGCCTGACTTACATGGTGTAACTCAGGGTTACATGGTGTAACTCAGGGTTACATGGTGTAAAGCCAGGCTTACATTGTGTAAAGCCAGGCTTACATTGTGTAAAGCCTGACTTACATGGTGTAACTCAGGGTTACATGGTGTAAAGCCAGGCTTACATTGTGTAAAGCCAGGCTTACATGGTGTAAAGCCAGGCTTACATTGTGTAAAGCCAGGCTTACATGGTGTAAAGCCAGGCTTACATGGTGTAAAGCCAGGCTTACATGGTGTAAAGCCAGGCTTACATGGTGTAAAGCCAGGTTTACATGGTGTAAAGCCAGGCTTACATGGTGTAAAGCCAGGCTTACATGGTGTAAAGCCAGGCTTACATGGTGTAAAGCCAGGTTTACATGGTGTAAAGCCAGGCTTACAATGTGTAAAGCCAGGCTTACATTGTGTAAAGCCTGACTTACATGGTGTAACTCAGGGTTACATGGTGTAAATCCAGGCTTACATAGAAGGCAAGAGACTGTAAGTGCATGTCTTCCTGTCAGGATTTAGAATCCTTGCAGAATTTGATTTACACCACTTAAATCTTCATTTTTGGCAAAAAAAGAATTTTTTTCCAGAAGACTTGTTGTGCAAGAGACTGTAAGTGCATGTCTTCCTGTCAGGATTTAGAATCCTTGCAGAATTTGATTTACACCACTTAAATCTTCATTTTTGGCAAAAAAAGAATTTTTTTCCACAAGACTTGTTGTGATTGCTCTCAAGTTAGCTGATCATGGTTCTGATTACAGTGCTAATTTAGGACTTGGAGAGGTCCAAAGAACACTCTAAATGGCTACGGGATGTCCTCCTGTTTGTATGCAAATATCACATGCTAGATCAAGGTAGATGGAAATCTGGTGGGACATATTCATGTTAAAATGTCACTTGTCTAACTTGTGACATCACCTGAGTCCTATGCAGCAACTTGTTCTGATAAAAAAAAACTTGAATCTTCTCCAACAAATTACCTAATCTCAAAACCTACACCTAGCAACTGCCAACAGCAAGTCAGGTTTAAAACACTCACTCCATTGACCTTTTTCTCCCAATTAATTCTTCATGCTCTCTCCTCTACTCAACACCTTCCTCATCTTATTCACAACACTTATCCTTCTGTTCCTTTCTTCCCTTTTCATTTTTATCCTCTCATACTTCTTCAAAAACACCTCAAAATATTAAATCAATCAATTTCAACATCAAAATATCTTAACTAAGTTTTTTTATCATCTCAATTCTCGCCCAATCTCTAGGCCAAAAAGTCTCTGACCACCTTTCCTGTTGGATTACTTGCCGAGCCAGAGATTGCGTTCGAACTCCGACTCGGCCAATTCGCGCCGATTGGCTTCGGTTACCGCCCTGTTTTCGAGGAGTGATCAAAACGAGATGAGTGATCTTTTTTTTTGGAAATCAACTGAACATTCTCAAGCCTTCACTTACGCTAGATCCTTGGCTTCCTCCTTCAAAGCCTTCAATAGATTCTGATCACAACTCTCGATCTCTGCAAGCTTTTGCTTTCGTCGTCGGATCTCCTCAATGAGACTCTGCTTGCGCTCGCTCAAAGACTCGGTCGCGGGCTTGACGATCGAATCCATCTTTCTCATCATCTTTAAATCCTAAAAAACAAACCATCACAAGAAGAAAAAAAAAACAATTTAGTATATGTTTGCTTCAAGTGAGGCCGGAATGAGAATGCATACATGAGACAGTTTGGCGGTCCGATCATGAAGGTGAGCCTGGTAAGTTTTCCACATCTCAATATCGAAGAGATGGCAGTCTTTCTTAGCGCTCATCTCGGCCCAATTCTTCTTGAGTCTGAGTTGGTTCATGATTTGCTCGAGATCCTCGACATGTTTCTGGGAAGAGTGAGGATGACTCTGGCCGATCTGAGCCTGTTTCTGTCGTAGGTTGACCCAATCCTTGAGGACCTTGTATTGCTGCGCGTTCCGCGAGATCTCATACTCGTGTTCTTTGGTTGTGAAATGTAGAAGCTCGGTCTTCTGTCTCAAGTTACTAGATGACTATGCGAGAGAGATGAATGATCAATTGATGTCAAGTGTGACAGAAAGATATGTACTCACACTCTCTAGTAGACGTAGCCGAGGAATCTTGACCATGCCAGCGAAGATCTGTTGGGCAAAGCTAGAGCCCCTGTGTTGGCTTTCGAGTTGTTCTTGTTGGTCGTAGTTCCTGACTCTGGGTTGAGAGAGGCTGATGAATCAAATCTCAGGGCATCGAAGAGCTGCGGCTGATCCGAGCGCCGGGTGGGTGCAAGTTATCCTGTGGATGACTCGCGTCGGATGACCGATGGAGATCCGAATCAGGTCCTCTGATAGAGGCCGAGGTAGGATCGGCCGACTTTGATCGGAAAAGCTCGGCGGTACTGTTTGTGGAATTGTGCTGGTCCGACTGATTGGATGCGCTGGATGAATGGGTTGAGCGGCGCGGGGATGCAAACGATAGTCGGAGCTTTTTGGGAGAGCCCGAGGGAGAGCCGGAAAGTCGGTGGGATGGAGATGCTGAGTTGAGTGGCTGATTGCCTCGGATCAAAGATAACCTGGGGTTTGCCGGCTCAAGTGAGACCCTGGGAAAGCTTCCAGCTCTTGAAATCGGTTCAAAAGAGGATGAAGGCAGAGTAGATAGTCCGGATTTCGAAGGGCCAGGTGGAAATAATGCAGGCTTTGGCGCAGAGGTATCATCAAAACTCATGTTGATCAGGTCTCCATGTTCTTGAATGTTTTTCAAGCCAGGTGTAGATAAAGAGGGTCGGTTGGCTGGCGGTCGGAAAGATGCACGACCGGAAGCAGGTTCATGGAAGTCGATCAATGCCGAATCCGGCTCGTCTAGATTGGAGCTGTCTTGGGTCTGTAAGAACTCCGAGACCCTGCTCCGTACTTTATTTGTCACCGGTTCAGAATCTTCCGAGTACAGCGACGGCCCTTGGTTTTCTCCCTCGCGCGCATTATCCAATTCGCGTGAGAGATCGTCCCAGTTCGAATATGACTGTGTCGTTTTACTGGGTTTGTTGGTTTTTTGGGCATGAGAAGCTTGGTCCTCATCTGTTTCGGGGTTAGTTTCCTGCTCGTTTGGCTGTGATCTCGGGGCCTCTCTTTGCCAGAAGACTAGACATGAGTGAATTTGCCCTCTGCCAATCTTGCTTTGGTCATCGCTGCAATTATTGCACTTCCTACTCCGCGGCCATCTTCGGCATGATAGGTTTTCTGAAACGAAAAGTAGGATCAAGTCAAACCGGATCTCATAAACACACATATAGTCAAGCCACTTACAATTAAGCGGCCCTTTTCACCAAAAATATCCACGAGAGCTTCATGTAACCTTTGGGGAAATTGTGGGTATTTCTGTGGAAAGAAATCCGGGACATTCGAGTAAGTGATGTACCGCTACTATTCTTGTGTCAGTAGATTATGAAGACAACTCACATTGTAAAGACTTCCATCGGTAGCCACTCCACATCCGGTTTCGACCATTCCCATCTTGGACACTATAGCCGCTATTCCACAGGCCGAAAGTCTAGCGGACCTGGTACCTATCAATTCCGCAAGTCTTCGGAAAAACTGGCGTTCGGAAATCGTGGTATCCAAGCCAAAGAAGTGTGTAAATAACCCTGTGACTGTCAATAATTCCTCTGTGGGGTCACTTGAGTCAAAATGTCGTTTGTCAGTCAAGACTCGGATTCAGTTCAAGCAAGCACAGGGATTGTTTTGCTACTTACCTTTCGATCAGACTGAGGAAAGCAGTATCGAAACAATAGCTCTTTTCCATCTTATATGTATTCTGACCCAAAAACAAGATCCCTTCTTCGATCATCTCCACTACGGTCAGTCGGAAAGCTTCACCAAGATAGAGGCCGGCGATCATCTTCTCAAAAGCTTGTTCTCCAGGCTTATTAGAGGTTTCATCGATGACCAAATCATACTTGGTTCGAGGCAAGTGTTCATGGGTACCAGAATCGAAAGCCCCCCATTCACAATTGATAGCCATCTCGGCATCTGGAGGAAGGCCGAGTGAGGCGATCTTGGGGATATTTGCGACTTTCTTCATGTAAGCGGCGTTGCAGCCTGTACCGAAGATAACTCCGATTCTGGTGGCCGGATCGACGTAAGAAGACGCAATAAGCGTTCCAGTGGTGTCGTTAATTACTGCAGTGAGCTTGACGGGTACTTTCTGATGAATGGAGGGCAATTATATTCAGCTCATGACAAGTACATGAGTAGATATTATAGCGTGACGTACAAATTTCTTTAATGACTTGGAAAAAATCTCGCCAACATCGTGCCCTTCCACGTTGGGGTTTCCGAAACCTTTAGTCCAACGAATGAGCTCACCATGGTCGATTTTCTTCTGCCTACATTGCGCGTCAAGCAGACCCATCAGATCCAATCAAGGGAAAAAGATAAAAAATTCGAGGACCAAAACCAAAAAAGTCAAAAAAAGACTCACGTGCAAGGGTAACTGAAGGTGAACCCTAGGGGGATATCCGCGTCTAACAGCGAATTGCCATCATCGTCAACATATTGATCGTTGACAAACCTAAATTTCAAGGAACAAACAGACAGGATGAATACATGAGCTCTGTGTCTGGACATTAAAGCATCTTGGTAAAAGTAATGAACTCAACTTGGATAAACATTCTGCGCAAAAGTCAAATAACTTTTCTCCTTCTTGTTGCTTTTGCTCATCCGTCAATTTGTATTTTGCTTGGGTGATTTCAAACCTGCCATCACCCTGCAGTTCCACATGACATACACGCAAATTGGTACCGCCTGTTTTAAGAGAGAAAGTAGCAAACGAGTAAGGTCACTGACCCGAGTTTCAAGAACATGTCTCTTAATTGGCAGCGGTTGGCATGATGGGTGGAGGGCATCAGCTTACCCAAGTCCACGGCCAAGTATGGGCCAACTTCCTTGCCGGTTGGCCATCCAAACACAAATGTGGGTATCATAGGCTACAGGGGACGCATGAGCCTATTTTTTTTTTCTTTTTTGCTTGACATCATGAAACTTTGGATATGCTCACAACGCACTGTCCATCCTCTTTCAAACCTGCTTCAAGGGTATCGATAAATGCCTCGACGATCATTCACATTCTACATTATCTGGAAACCCAACTCATGTGTGAATGTGATGGATCACGTGGAACAGATAGGCTGATAGAAACGGATAGCAGGGTAGAAAACAAACCGTTGAGGGGTGACCATGAAAAGATGTTCGAATTTCCTAAGGTAATCCGCCATCTGCATCTTAGTCGCATGGGGAAGTTGGGCATTGTCATGGGTTCTAGAGTGAAGATGAGATCCGACCAAGGTAGTAGGTGAGTCGAGCAGGGGGGCACAATCGACAGAATCGGTAAGATGTAAAGCAGTTCGTTTGACGCATGCAGAGCGGCGGGACAACAGGGTATTCCCGAGCCCAGATTGTCCAGGCGGCAGTGAGCGTGAGCGATCGAGTGGTATTAGGACATGAGTGAGCAGGTGTTGATTGCGATGGAGGGCGGCGACAAAGGAGGGGTGGTTTTCCAATAGCGAGTGAGTACGTTTGACGTGTAGATTAGGTGGGGCGTCGCCGGGCGTGGAGATGGGAGATATGTCGAAGACAGAAGGTAAGTCGAGTAAGGGAGTAGCCAAGGGCAGGGCGCGATGGGGCATAACGTCGAAGGTAGCAATACGATGTGCGAGTGTTGTATGAGGGATTGTTGAAATGAGGGGCGGATGAAATATCGATGGACCAAAGCGTCGGTGCGGGCGATGAACATGCAAAGCAAGACGGTGTCGATGGGATGAGAATCAAGAGTCAAGGTGAGTATATGAACAGACGATGGAGAGGCAATGTTAGTGAGAGGGCTTTCAGGTTTTGCTAAGGATCAAGCAGCAGAAGGTGAGAGCCAAGACAAGTAATGGCAATGATGAGCTACAAAAATATGAATCGAGATGGACGTGCAGCTAACAAATGTCAGGTCATCAGGTCAAGTTAAACAAACTTGATAAGCTCTCCGCTCCTCAATCGGGATTTTTGATCTAGAAAATCTACACGGCTTGGGCTTAGTTGGTCACTGAGGAGGCTTAATCAACTGATGGCAATTTTACAGCAGTCGCTACTGCTGTGCCCAAGATGACAAGGGAGATAGCACGCTTAGTTGGATAAGCTATTCCAATCGATGGAATATAGCCAGGTGGAGGATTAACAGACAGATGACTGAAGCCGATGGCTGATTCACCACCCATGGAAATAAGAGGTCAAGTGATCGATGGAAGGATGGATTATGAATTAATTAAGCTGCTTATACGGAACGACAAGCGCCCCGGTGAGATTGACGGAGAGAGAAGAGGAGACGGGAGATCGCGGTTTACCGAGGGGTTTGGTTTGGAGGCTTGAGGACAGCAGGATGATGAAAGTTGAAGATTGATCGAAAGTGCTGATAGTAAAATGAAGCCGATGGGGGATGACGAGGAGAGCAAGACCGAGAGAGAGAGAGAGAGAGAGAGAGAGAGAGAGAGAGAGAAAGATGAGAGGGAAAAGGTTTGAAGATTAAAATACTGACCTGGTATGGACAACGATAGAACCACGACCATCGGCCCTACTTCCGCTGTGTCTAGTGAAGGTAGCACTCTTTCGGAAGGTGTGATCGGAGCTGGTTGAGCCATGCTGAGCGTTAGAGGAGACGGATGTGAGTGGAGTAGGAACGACTGAGGACATGTTTAATGAAGAAAAAGAGAGATTAGGGTTATCGGTGATCGAACGAGTTTGTATGAAAGAGCTTTAGTTTATCCGAATCTGCTCCAGCTGGTTGATGGGGGGAGTAAGCTTGGAAGAGAGGCAGGGTGGGTGGATATAAGTGTGATGAGGATGGTCACTGGGAATGGTTTGTCAAGGTTATGCGGTGGTACTAGCTGTAAGGGCAGAATTCAGTTAGTATACGATATGTCTATATATTCACTTGATATCCGGATGAGAAGATGAACAGTAGATTGGGGGGATGGATAGGAAAAGCTAGACAAACTCACCCGTGCAAGCTTGGGTCGATTGATGGTCTGATAATAGTGATCTGGTCTGGAGATGAGGCCCGGGAAGAGAAGGAAGGGGTTAGTATGATACTCTTGAGGGAGTGAGGTTGAGATGGAGAAGACTTTACACTGTTTTGGTTGATCGATTGTCTGAGAGAGGGCAGCGTCGAGTGGTAAACTGCAAGACTTCAAGAGGAGTCAAACCACCTCCTACAACTTACACAGCCACAAATACCTGCTTATGGGCTTACACATACTTATCATGGGCTTTCTACGATTATGAAGAATTTCCTCAACATCGGCCATCAAACCGGGGAACGAGTCTTGTAGCTTTTCGAGTTTCGTTTCAGTCGAATTAGGTCGATGATCCTTTTCAGAGATCTTATTCCATATGATTTTGTGCTGCCGATGATCAAGAGGAGAGATACCAGTGGTGCTTGATTTGACAAATTCCGAGTTGAGGATCTTCCAAGGCTGATCGAGCTTCTGGAGGATTCCTTGAACCACACTAATTGTGCTTAGGAATAGTTCCGCCCGAAAGTGCCAACTCAAGAGGGGAGAACATAGAAATGTCTGACTGAGAACATCGATCAATGTTGAGCTGATGAGTATAGATCCAAGGTAGCCCAAGCGCTCGTCATCGTCTCCACTGGCGATCAACAATCCATTTGCGGCGTTCATATACTCGACCAAAGCTTCGTCGCCGTATAGGTGAGTTATCTTGGGACCATGTTTGAAAGATATTTTGTATTGATTCATTAGGAAGCAAGAATCAAGTTGCCCTAACAGCTATTATTGAAAGAAAGCAGGGCGTGATTTAAGCAATCACTATGAGCAAGCTCCACTGTGCCAAGCGTGAAGCAAAAATATATAAATAAACACTTTACCTCGATCCAAATTGATGCTCGACCGGTGGCGCAGCATTTTATCGTTGGACAATCCTGTCCATGAAACGGTCCTGAACAACTCCAGTCGCATCCGGTGACATTCATGCATCCCTTGCAAATGACCTCACAACACATCGGGCAGTAATGATGAATCTGATCCGGGGAGACCTGGAGACGAATAAAGTCGGTATTGCGTTTACAAGAGAAACTCAGCGAAACAGCATACCGGCGGAGTGGTTTCGATGACAGACTTGCAGCTTCGACATGGACGAGCCCTCTGGAGTAGAGATTTGAGTCGAATCAATTCTTGATCAGGCCCAACGGGTGATGACTGGCTACTACTCGGCAAGAGGGAGGTGAAGATTAACTGTCGACCTTGGCCTGAGGGAAGGTGTGGTTCCGAAGTGATCTGGTTGCTCCGATTGGCCGATCCCGAGGGCTGCTGGCTAGTACTTGGTAAGAGGGATGTAAAGGTGAACTGCCCATCATGGCCTGGGAGCACGCAAGAATTGGAAGAGGGTTGACTCGTTTTAATCGTTGAATTGCGCTTGGGAGTGATTGCTTCGGGTGGATGTGAACAATTAAGCGGCGAGGGGTTAGAGGGAGTTGAGATCGCTGGATTCCTAGGATCAGGAACGATTTTGCGGATATAGCCAACTAATTGACGAGGGCTGTGGCGAAAGTCTGCCATGGCTACAGAACAGACACCTTCAGATTGCGCTCGCAAGCGCAACATATTATCATTGGATAGCAAAGCTATCACCGTTCCCGGATGATTGGTCTTCGCTCGAAGATGAAGATTATTGGCGTATGTGAGTATTCTGGTGTCCGGGTCCTTGTCCTTGATGAAGATCAAAATTATAAAATATCTGATCAGCATGATTCCCAAACCGGTACTTACACTTATCTAGACTTGTTGCAACGCACTCGTCTGTCTTCTTCTGACTCCTCTTCAAGTTTTTGGAGCACTACCCTTGAGGAACCGAGTTTGACGAGATCGAGTAACCAGTTTGTTACTTGCCTTGCCAAGGAGCCCATCGTCTGTTGAGAAGAGCATCTCCCAGCCTTGAAAACCTCGACCAGATGTTGGCAAGACTTTTGGAGATCTAGCTCGTTGAGGACAGCCGCGGGAACTAATAGACGACGGTTTGAGCCCAGAAGGGGGATCAAAGCTCGTAAGAAATGCTGATATGCCAGTTGAATATTGGTGTCTAGTACGATGTCGATCTAGCCAAAGTGTCAGAAGGGTCAGTTTTTTTTCCAGACATTGTATTTGAGAAAGAAAGGGGAGTTCGTGATGAACCTACCTGATAGCCTTCATCATTAATTACCAGGGGGTAGTTCTGTTGTCCTGTTTGGCGGATGCAGTTAGCCGGGTGATGGATTAAACTGAAGAGTGGTGAGATTGCCGCTGAAAAAGAATTTACTTCTCAATCCGGGTGGCTTGGTTGGTAGCTTAGGCATCCGGGAGTTAGATTGGCGGGGTACTCGAAGTTCGTCTTGATTGATCGGAGGGGTGCCCAGGACGGCAAAGCGATTATCAGATTGGAGTGTTGCACGCTGTGGCAATTTGGCGATGGGCCTGGAAGGATGTCGAGTGAAAGGTTGAGAGGAGGTCGATGGAGGGTTGTTGTTGAGTGGTTGATTAGGATTCCATGGATTCCGGGATCCAGTCATCTGATAGCGGTTTCCACTGTGCTGGCTCCCACGTTTCTAAATAAAAGATTGTTGTGTTGATGATAAGTTGGTCAGCAAGATGGCTGGACAAATATAAGTGTTTTAGTGGCGCAGGAGGATTATGAGGTGAATTGAGGGCTTGCTAGGACATTCAACTGAGATTTGTCCGCCGTTATGAAATTGGTAAGACTTTCCAGGGAAGGCTTGGTGATGACGAATATTCTGATGATTGATAGCGTTAGAAGGGTTGGAGATGGAATGCCTGGGTGTAGTCGATGGAGGTGGTTGAGATCTATGTGTTGATGGTAGTTTTTCTTGTGTTCCGGCTGAGGTTCGGTTTGGGTATCCAAGGTTTTTTCGGAAGGAGCAGAGCTGTTAGATGATGATGATGAAGGATGTAAGTACATAGTTGAGGAAGGGAAGCAGAGAGAGAGGGCGTTTGTGAGACGGGCTTACGAGTTTGTAATTTTATTTTTTTTATTATTTTAGATGATCCCGTGAGCCGGACGGGTTTATAGAAGTATAGGAGATGTATACGCGTGAGAATTGGATGGCGAGATTAGTCTTGAAAGGCCTCGAAGGGACGGTATAATCAATTGTGGATGGTTTGCGTACAGAAGCAAGAGAATTTTTGCGTCTCGTTGTACGTCTACTACTCACCGGCTGAGGTCTTTCTCCGTATTCACGATGGTGACCAAGATCTTTTGAGTTCCAGTCGGAGGTGCCGAATCAGTTGAGTTTTGGTCGAGTGTTGTTCTTCTGGAAGGAGATCGAGTGGGACGAGAGGGGTTATCTTCAGTTGAGCTCTGAGGGTCCTCATCGTTTGCTGCTCTGGGAGGCCTTGAGGCACTCCTAGCTCTGGTACCTCGACGACTGGTCGGAATGCTGGTGCTTGGACTGCTAGTGTGATCAAGTCTCACAAATCGTTCATCCTCTTGAAGGCTCGGGACCTCATGGAATCGATGGCCGATCTGTTGTTCAAGTTCTGCCTTGAGTGAGTCAGATTTATATTCAATGTCCAGCTGACGGCAGATCTCTGCAGGGCATCCATCGGTTTGAATAAATAGAAAACATATTTCAGTTCAAGCCTTGTTAAAAAGTGTAGCGATGAGCATCAACCACATGGACTTTGAAGTGCTGCCCATACATAGTGAGATTGAGTGAGGTAAATGAACAAAAGTTGATCGAAATTTTTGGTTCGTTGGTAACAGATTTCAACGATCTGAGGGGTGGATTGAAAATTTCAGATGGACAAGGTTAATGAGTGATCATGTTTCCAATTTAGATGGTCAGGCTTACTTTTTGGTTGCCTTGCTTTAAGGGTTGTTGGCCCAATCGATTCCAAGAAGGAGGCCAAAAGCTACTGCGTTGATACTCTGATCGAGTTGCAAATAGCTTAGTCGAAGGCGGCCAGTCTTATGTCCGCATTCCTCAAAGATGACGTGGCCGCAGTGAGGTTGGTCGGATTCAAGGGGCCCCGGAGTGCTGTGAATGGTTGGGACGTGGAACCAAGAAGAACCGCTGCCCCGAACTCAACCACGCAGAACCTTTAGGGAGGCAACAACCGCAAGTCCGATCAGCCCAGAAGAACCGCTGCCCCGAAATCAAACAACCGCTGATTCCAAGTCCAACTGGCCGTGAAGAACCGCGGCCCCAAACTCAACCACGCAGAACCTTCCGAGAGGCAACAACCGCAAGTCCGATCAGCCCAGAAGAACCGCTGCCCTGAAATCAAACAACCGCTGATTCCAAGTCCAACTGGCCGTGAAGAACCGCGGCCCCAAACTCAACCACGCAGAACCTTCCGAGAGGCAACAACCGCAAGTCCGATCATCCCAGAAGAACCGCTGCCCTGAAATCAAACAACCGCTGATTCCAAGTCCAACTGGCTGAGAAGAACCACTGCTCCAAACTCAACCACGCAGAACCTTTAGACGCAACAACTGCTGATTCCAAGCCCGAACGGCCAAGAAGAACCGCTGCCCTGAACTCAACCACACACAACCTTTATAGAGGCAACAGCCGATGATTCAAGAAACGTCCAATCAGCCCAGAAGAACTGCTGCCCCTGACTCAACCATGCACGACCTTCAGAGGCAACAACCGCCGATTCCAAGTCCGCAAGAAAAGTCTGATTGGCCAGGAACAAACGCTGCGGGGATTAACGATTCAAATCAAAATGTGTATGTTCCCTTTTTGATCCTTGCTGCACAATCAGAGATTGGTGCTGTTGGCTTGAGCTGCGTTCATACCCGGCCAATCTCCAATGTGCAGCTACTTATCTGTTATCTAAAGTGTGGAGGGGGTGCTGTTGGCTTGAGCTGCGTTCATACCCGACCCTTTCCTCATTAAGATAAGATTGACAAGCCCTTGAGCTAGACTGATCTGGTTTGCACATCCTGGTTCCAGTTCATCTAGCCGTAAGAGGGTTCGCCGTGGATCCAATGTGAAGCGACATGAGCGAAGCAAGCGCAAAGCTGCCCTTCCTTTTGCTGCAACCAATCCGGACGATAATCTTGGAGATCAATCTCAAGAGCCGATCATCACCCCCGACTCAGCCACTGGAACCCCAACTTTACAACCTCTTAAGCCACAAGACCCTAGCATTACAGTCTCGTCACCAGCCAATGCAGCGGGAACACCAGAAGAAAAGACGCACTTTTGTTTCATCCCGAAATACAGACGTGTTGATCCAAAGCCAAACGAAACCATTACAACACCTGAAACCCTCGCTCAACATTACCGCAAAGTCTCCTACGGCACGTGTATCATTGCTCCGAAAGATCAACAAGCATTCTGCAAGGTCAAATTTGTGCCTTTTTCCTCGATGACACCTTCCGAGATCAAGGGGTGGGAGAAACTGGTTGTTTTCTTCTTTTATCGGATGAACTACGTCGACAAGGTTAAAAATAACGGACCTCTTATGGGAGGGGACATGTGGGCTGATGGATGGAGGAAGTGTTCTAAGAAAGGCGAGGCGTTTGGCAGGTATTGCTCAGTAGTAAGGCTTGCACGAATGATCATGCTAGCAAATTACAACCAAGATGACGAGGCAGCTGCCATTCGGGAAGCAAACGACTGGATCGCCTCCCAGCTACAACAACTGGCTCCTGGAGTCTTTCAAGCATATCGCCAAATTCTCATCAACAATAACCTCCCATCAATGGCCCACATGGAATATCAAACAACCTACAACGCCTTCGACTTCGCCTCCTTCTACACCTTCACCATGAACAATTTTTTCAACGGCCCACATCATGACGGAGATGCTAACCGATGGACTCTTGTATGTTGGATCCCAATCTTCAACCCTAAGACTTGCCAGGAGGAAGACGGCATTTTGGCAGACAAATACTTTGATATGACTGGAGGCGAATTCACCTTTCGGGACTTCCAAGTATACCTGGATTTAAATAAGGTAATTGGGGTCACTCTCTGTGTATTCAAATCTACCGACCATAGACATCAAACTTTGCCGGGTCAATCGCCTTCTGATAAGTATACACGCCTAGGTTTCTCTTGCCAAATGTCTGAAAAGATGACTTCTGCAATAATTTCCTATTTGACTGGTAAAAATCAGGGGATGCCTGTAGCTGGACAAGATATTCAAGTACAAAATGCCCAACAAAAGTTGGCTGCAAGACAGTAGTACATGTTTTTTTTTGTTTTCTTCTGTGGTCTTTGATGAGCAATCCATATTAATTGATAGGACTTAAATGCAGGATTGAGATTTTGTGCACAATGCCGCTTGAAATGAGTATAAAACATCTGGGCCAATGGTGATATGGTTCGGATCTGTTGAAAAAAGTGGTTTTCAGTGTGATGATTGGATAGACCTGGGAAAATGTAGACTTACATTATTCAGTGGTTCTGGAATCATCTCAGCTCCCATGATTTCCAACTGCTGCATGATAAAAATCGTGTAATTCATGCCTGATTCGAACTTGATGCTTGAGCAACAATTTGATGAACCAGTAAAAAATAGTGGGAACAAAAATTGCAAGTGGAAATTTTTTTAATGAAGTATCACAGAAATGATCTAAAGGGTGAAGATACATTAAGTTCAGGATATATTTTTTGCTGAAAATACATAGGTATTCATGCAATTCTGGTAAGAGCAAGAGCTGTTTGTTTATTTGTTCTTGGATCATATTGACTAAGTTTACTGCTACTTGTATAAATGTTGGGTGAGAAAATAAGTACGCTAAGCCAATTACTAGAAGCTTGAATCTCTTGCTCCATATGATTTGAAAAATTTGTAACATATTTTCTGGTGTATCTCGTGTGTATGTATTGGTAAATATGGAAGAAATAGTGGATCTCAGGGATCAGACAAGTCTGCCTGTCTTCTGAAAAGCAGTTGAGAGGCCGAACACATCTGGCTGTCAGATGAGCAGTCTCCTGGGGCCCCCCGTCAATATCTGGATCCTGATATGTAATATGTGAGCGCACCAGTTTCATGAGTTAGGTAAATAAACACCCTGTTGGTTTTTTCTGACAGTTGTTCATCCTGTTATTAACAGCCAGGCTACATAACAGCCCATCAATTTCAAATTCACATGTCAAGATACCAACAAACTAAAAGCCATACCATGAGAGCGGTAATGTGCCTGGATGAGAACCATAAAAGGCTCCTTGCCACAAACTGGTTTGATTCAGCCAAAACATTCAATTACTTTGCCTATTTCTCTCACCCAATCTAAGGACTCTCTGAAAACCCTACCGAAATGCCTCTGGACCTCAAGATTAACCTGGACCTAGGAAGCCTTGTAGATGACTCAAATACAAACATTTGTATTACGGTGAAGACCAATGGTAAGCATTTGACACCTATAACAGTTGATTTTACTTACAGTATTTATTTATTTATTTATTTTCAGGTGCACCAAACACTGGCCCCAAAAAAGAAAACTTGGGGACTCCGAATTTGTTATCCAGCCAAGCGACCATCACCCCCAAAGCAGTGTATGGGGAATTAGATTCTCCTTGTCAAGATCCTTTTGGTGAAAACATGGTCAGGACCTAATGTATACTCCGATTGAGACCAAAGTATTGACCCAGCACTTGTCTGCCTTTCAACTCGATATGTTAGCCAAAGAAAAAACAAATCACCCCCTACATCTCGAAAGAAAAGGACTACACCTTTAAGCCACTGGTAAGTAGGTTTTTTATGTTACTACTTGTTATCATTTTAACTAACCCTCTCTTTTCATACCAGTCAAGCTCGACTGAAAGTGTTTTGGACGGTTCTACAAACCTTAACCACAGGGCATCAAGCTAGAGCCCTTCTTCCTTCTATGCTACTTCTGTATATTCCTTCTTCTTCTTTTGTCTCGAGATCAACAACATGGGGTATGTGTTACAGAGGTCCTAAATGTGAATAAATCCTCCCCTACTCTTAGTAATCCTTAAGGCAAAAAAAACTGTTTTGGCGACTCATGTATGCTGGCCAAAGGCCATGCAGCGGCATGTATTATTTTCTCTTTTCAAAGTTGGAAACAGAGAAGAATGGAACATATGTTATTGCAGTTTACTTTGCGAGCCTGGAGCTGCTGAAGGGCATCAGCAGCTGGGGTGGTGGTGGAGAGGGTGACTAAGATGGCCAAGATGGAATGAGATTTCAATTCCCGCTCAAACAAAAAAATATGACTAAAACAAGGATGAACAATATCTTTGTACAGAACTCGGCTTCTGCATGGACACCAAACATGTCCAGCCAGTAATAATTCACCAGGCCACAGAGATCGATCCCAATTCTCAAGTCCAAGCTGTTGCTCAACTTACAAATGGGTTCGTATGGAAGTGATTGGGGGTAAGACTGATTGTTAACTACTGATTGGCAAACACGATTGATAAAAATGTATGTGGGGATGATCCATGACACCAGAACAAGCATTTTGCTTCCTGATTGATATCAAGCAAGTATATTAGTAAAGAACATGTATAAAGATGTTACTTCAGAAAAGAACTCACCCCATGATCTCAAGTGAGACGTTTCCACACACTTTTCAACTATTTCTGAATTGCTGTTTTGTCTGATTTGTGGCTGAAGACTGAGATTTGTTGCACGATTTTTATTATGAGTATAACTCTCTAAAACTTGGTTTTCTGTTAATCGTTTGTTGATGGATATAGATGGCGATTGAACTTTCTGAATGTTTCGCATCGACCGTCGGATGGGTTGTGATTTTGAAGGACTTCCTCGGTGGTTAACCTTTTTACTTGTCCCACTGGCCTTATTCTTTTCAGAAGTCGGCTGTTTCTCCATTCCCACAGTTTCTATTGAAGCGGTTTGCGAAATTTTCTGGTCCAGGGGTGTGATCTTTTGCAGTGGTTGAAAATTGAAGGCATTCAAGGAAATACCTATTGCAAGAAAGGTAGGAAGTTAATTTTCTCGGAAATGTTCATCAGCCATATGATTTTACACTCACTATCCATGTTGTATACGGGGCATCTGGAATTACAAAATGGATGTAAGTTTGTGCTTAACGTGTGTCGATGTACCGATTTTCTATTCAATCCCTTGCATTCCTCACACGACTTTCGGGTTTTTGGTAGGATGTTGCCCTGGCACTCAGGAAGATGTGGAAAATGGTAATACATGCTAGAATGAATATTGTTACTGATTTCAGATGATGAGAACTTGAGCGAGGTGAAAAAATTGGGTGGTGGGTGTGGATATATGAGTGCCTTGTGATGAAAGGCTCCTAGAAGAGGGAGGAAGGATGAGTAGGTTTGAAAGTCATGCAGCTAATCATGTAGTGGGATCAGAAACAAGACAAACAGAATCAAATTGGAAAGGTGGGAATTTTGAATTGAATCCCTACGTCAATGCCAACTCCAACCGATCCGTTACACAGTGTTGATCAGAACAGCCATCACAACACTGCACTAAAGTAAAACGTATAAGGGGAAATCCTGCTTGAATAATCCGGGAAACTCACATGGACCACATGAAGCTGAGTACCAGCCTTAGTGTCTGTTTATTTCTTAAATCACAAATTGTTTATTTCTCTTAAATCACAAATGTGAGGCAGAAATGTACTACCAGCTCTCAAAATGGTTGAACTTGCCAGACCCAGAACCCAAAAGGTCTTAAAAAGATGTGTATAAATTTCTTTGAAGGAAAAATGATATAGAAAAAGGGGAAACAATCGGCAATAGACAGAATACAGAAGATTCTAGGCTATGTCTGAGGATTGAGGGGGTTCTCTGAGATGAAACTTGACCGAAAAAATAGTTTCTTGAAGGTTTTCAATTGTTTCCCGCATGGTGACAAGCTCGTCTTCAGCACTCAGCCCATGGTCAGCCATGTGCCATCCCAAAATTGCTCCCTGTAAGAGCATCTAGTTTAGTCATCTATGCTAATTTCCTTGAATGATAATGGGGGGACATGCCTTGAAATGTGAAACATGGTTACGATATGATGCCAAATCACTTCGAACCTCCTCCAGTCCCAATCTGAGTACCCTAGCCGTTTTGATGCTCTTAGAAGTCAGGCGAAGGTCCCTGCGCAATTGTTTGCCAGTTTTTGTAGTTTCATCGGTCAATTTCTTCCAGAAAGACTGGCTGTCCTTGATGCTTTCCAGTTTGTAATGTTCCTTGTGAATTCGTTCTGAAATTTTCAATCCAAGGCTGGTCGCTCGTGATGCAATGGGAATGGTCGTCTCGATTGTGGTGATGAGCCTTTTGAGCTCCCAGTCAAAGTTCGAAAACGCAATGTCTAGATTTTTTTCAATTAATTCCAGGGAGTACGTCTTTCTTCCTGAGTAGACCCATTCGACTACCTGGCCTACCCTACCAAACTTGCAGAAAGGGAGACATAGATTAGAATAATTCCTGCAGACTTGTTCATCAGAGTACAAAAATATGCGTACCTCATGAACAATGGAGGAAAATGCTGTTATTGCCTGGCCGTTCAAATCAATAATCTGATCTTTCAGCTGACCAGTTACTTCACCCAGTTGCCAGAGTTCGGCTGCCAACACCTCTTTGTCGTCAAACTTGCTGGAGTAGAGTATTGCATAGGTGAGTTCCCAAATCTCGGATTGATAGATGCCCAAGCTATTCGGATTGCTTAAATGGGTGACTGATTCAAAAACATTCGACGCCTTCTTGGTGGTGACTGAAACAGTTTGGGCAACCCTGGCCAGTTCGTCGTCTGACACTGAAGTTTGGGTGCTTGAGAAATTGCAGAAGGGACCGGGAAAAACTTTACAGTACACAGAAATATAGGGCAGAAAAGCTGAACCAGAGGGAGTCGGAACGCTTGCAAATGGATGCCAAAGTTTAACAGAAAGGATGGTGCCAAACCAATAGAAAATGGCGAGCACCAAAGCCATAGCAAAGGCTATACCAGTGAGACGGGATACTACATAAGTAATAGGATACAAAACAAGGTTACAGAATAGGCCAAGTGCAGATCGGAAAGCAGACCAGACTACTCTCATTGTGTTAGAGGACTTGTGTAGGATTTGTTGTTGGTATTGAAGAGTTTGTGGGTGGATTTATTTTCAGTGATACTTATGATTTTTCTGGGTTGTTTCGAGTGGGGGGAGGTGAGTCAGAGAGGAACAGAAGTTCTGGCATGCTTTGTTTCTTGTATATTTGCAAATAATAATAAATAATAGGACAAATGACCTCATTGAGTAAAAAGCTCTCAGGTTGTACCAAGCAATGGACAGGGACCTGGGAAAAAGAAGTGACACAGTAACAGAGTGGCCAGGGAAGGATCGGTTGTTACATATTGTGGCCGACAAGATCTATGAAACTCAAGAAATCAAAGAGGTTGATACATAAAACAGCTCTCAAAGTAGCAGAAACTTTGATGCCCCTTGATTTCCTACTGCTAGAGGACATCACCACGTTAGCAAATCCTACTACATATGGCTGCTGAATTCTCCCAAGGAAACCCCTTTCAGCGTGTACTTGAGGCAAGAATGGCCAGTCATCACCCAAAACAGTCTCAGCAACCTCGACATGTTCTGGACCAGATTTTGGCGTTTGCAACCCCAAACAAGCAGACTACACTAGCGCAAAGGTGGATCCCAGAGATAATCGAAATGGAAGCCATGGGAGCAGCATCATTCACCCATAAGAATGAAAAGTGAGTCATTTTAATAGTGATAAGACCAATAAAAAAACTCATCAGCTTACTGGCTCAACAATCCTCTGATTGTCAGTCATACTAGTGACAATGAATGTTGGATCATTCTTGAGCACGGGGAAGCTCAAAAAGGTGGTAATCGATGGGCTGGATATCTGAATTCATTTATTTTGTTGGCCAACCCGAATAAGCAAAAGCCAGACCTATGGATGCCAGATACAATTGAAATGAAGGTGTTGGAAGAAGCACCATCCAATGATAATTTGGAAGACAAGTAAGTTGAAAATCTATGTACTGAAGTGAAGAAAAGGAGGGATCCACTTATAGTTTTACACTTATCCTGTGAAAATCAGTATCACAGCTGGTAACGATGAAGGCTGGATTTTTCTTCAGAATGACAGAGTTCAACAAAAAAACTTGAATTCTTGATATCATCAATGTATGTCCCTCATCTACACCCACTAACGACACACAAATACTAAAATCACACCGTTTCTCTTTCTTCTACATCAATTGAGTGGAATAGTCCCATGTCACTTCACTTGAATTTGATTTTTTTTAATTTGTTCGTCTATCCCAGAAAAAAATGTGTACATATCGTTGTTGGTCTTTGTATATGAAATTGTTTGGAAATGGGTGTGGGTGTGTCATCACTGGTGAATGTCGTGATCTTTTTTGAGTCTCAACAAAAAGACATTATCTTTACATTTAACTGGTTTCTTGATACTTGACCAGTACATTACATGGTGAACCCCTCTGCTTCTTTCATGCAATCATGCCCCGACAAATACTTGTTCCATGCACATGTGATGACTGCAAAAATTCCTCAACTTATCGTGATAAAAATGGCCAATCACATCCTGGGCACCTGTGGCCACAATCACTATATCTGAAACATCGACAAAAATCTTCAAATCAATCAATATCTTCCTTGAAACTTGAACCCTTACCTACTCTTCCTGTTGCACATACATCTTCTAATTTCGACATACCTGAAGCCACCTCAAACAAAATACCAGCAGATGCATGCATTCGTGGCTCAAATTCTGGTAATACCAACTGCTCTAGAGACACCAAGGCATCATTCATGAAGACAAATCCACCACCTTTATCTTCAAGCTCTGGTATTTGTCACACTCACGCTCATCAGGATAGTGTTACTTTTCCCATCGTGTCGGATGAGTTTTCAAGAAACCGCTGTTCTCTCAACTTGTTTAGGACTGAAACAACCAGCAACAGCCAACAACTGGCACCGCATGTTTCCAAGCTTGCTAACTCTGCAGATTCTCAAGGACCATCTAAAGGTGGGTTTCTCAACCTCATAAATCAACTTCATTGTTGACTAACAGTTTTTTGTACACTTGCCAGCTTTGGAAATAAGTTTGGATTTGGTTGATCATAATCAGGCAGATGCATTCCCATTCCAATTAGTTGGAAATCTTGATGAAACTGTTCTGAAGCATTACAATTCTAGTAAGTGATTTTATCTGCATGTTAATCTGCCTTACTCATATCTGTTTTTATCTGTCGACACAGGTTTTCTCAACCAAAACCTTATCCTGTCTATGAGCATTCCGACTGATATATTGGCTTCAATGCTCCGTTCTGCCTGTCAACATTTGCTCAATCATGCAAGTATTGAATCTTCCAACCTCGATCTCCAAGTTCAACAAGGTATCTTGGATGCCAAATCAAGTTCACGACAGCAACATATCGGTTTGCTTCCTGCAAATATTTCCACCATTCTGAAAAAATTGAAGCTCGAACCCAATACCCGAAAGAGTATCTGCTGTATGAAGTGTTATTCGATGTACCCTCTCCAAACAGAAGTACAAACATGCACTTACAAAGCCACCCGTCGAAGTAAAATTTGTCAAGAACCTTTATTCTTTAGTCCACCTAATCATAAAAGACCAGAAATGAAGCCCCGTCGATTTTACACAACTTATTCCATGCTCGAATGGCTAGGGCGGCTCTTAAATCAACCTGGAATTGAAGATCTTCTTGATACTCCCATCAATCAACATCGGAACAGTGGCCTAATGCGAGATGTTTGGGATTCTCCAATGTGGGTCAAGGAAAAAGATTTGGATGGAACACCTTTCACATCCAAAACAGGTCATCTAGCATTCTCTTTGGGAATTGATTGGTTTAACCCGTGGGGAAACAAAGCTGCCGGAAAAATGGCCTCACTTGGTGCCATTGTTCTAGTTTGCCTTAACCTTCCACTTTCACACCGCTATCGGCCCGAAAACATCTATCTTGCCGGCATAACACCTGGTCCAAAGGAGCCAACCGTCACCCAAATTGGAAATGTTCTAGAACCACTAGTTAGTGACTTGACGGACCTCTGGCATGGTGTCCACTTTTCCAGCACCTCACGCTTCCCGAAAACTGGTCGAACCATCCGAGCTATGCTTTTGCAAGTGATTTGTGACCTTCCTGCAGTGAGAAAGGTTATGGGGCTTGCCGGGCACTCGTCTAAAAACCATCTCTGCTCTTTCTGCAAGATTCACCACGATAATCTTTCCTCGATCGACTCAACAGCCATGGTTCCTCGGGGTAATCAAGAAATACGGGAAGCAGCTCTGCAGTGGAAATCAGCAGAGACCAAAGTCCGACAGCAAGAGATCTTTGCCGAGTGGGGAGTACGCTATACACCATTACTCAAGCTACCATACCTTCTGCCTGTCAGCCATACAGTAGTAGAGCCAATGCACAATGTTTTTCTTGGTGTATTGAAGTATCACGGTCAACGCCTTCTTGGATTCAAGCAAGCTCCTGAAGATTTGAGGCGAAACATCTTCAAAGATCAATCAGAGCCTCAAAACACCATCTCCGAACAGAGTGCCACATCACCACCAGAAGTATTACTCAAACAGTGGAGTGATGAAACCCTCCAATTATATTGCTCCTTGTTTAAAAACTCAGAGGGATCTGAAGGGAGTGATTTAGAGTCTGATCTAGACTACTGCCCAGAAGGCATTGATTGTGATAGCCAATCTGATTACTCTTCTTCAGACCATTACGCTTCAGAGTTTGAAGATTGTCAAGAAGACCTGAACCCGATTCATCAAGATCTCACATTCAACAACCCGGACAACATGGAACTACTCCGCTTTGTTATTCAAACCATTCATCTGCCTTCATGGGTCAATCGAATACCGATCACAATTGGTGAAGTTTCTGGGGGGAAACTGAAAGCAGACGAGTGGATTATACTTTTCACAATCATGCTTGTGCCAGTGATGGGTATCATATACCATCCTCAAACAGGCATTAGTTCAGAGATGTTGGACAACTTTTTTCAACTTGTCAGTGCCGTGACAATTGTTCGACAGTCAGAAGTACAAAAGTCAGATGTAGGTACTCTAAGGGAGTACATACAGAAATATCGAAGAAGCACAAAAAAGATTTTCCCACAATTTGCACCGGTACCAAATCATCATCTCTTGCTTCACGTACCAGAATGCATGGCCCGACAAGGTCCAGCTTCCACTTGGACTGGATGGGTGTTTGAGAGACTCAATGGTGACCTTCGGAATATACCAACAAACAACCAAATGCGTCAGTAATTTTTCCCTTTTCTATTCAACAGTTCAGTCCATCCTTACCAACAGCGTGATTTCTGTAGGTGTTTTGGACTCAACTCTTCTCAGAAAGTATGTTACTGCAGCCAACTTGAAAGCTAGTTTGCCTATTCTATGCGAAAAACTTCCACCATCACTCCGGGAATCAATGCTACATCATTTGCATTTCAATCATAACTCCAGCTCTGAAATTCGATATAATGCAGAAAGCTTTGATGTTCCATGGTATGGGGAAAAACTTGTCAAACTCGGTCAAGGAACCATTACACGACTTGTCGCCCAAATATCTAGGATCGAATCAAATATAGCACCGGGTTGGGGATATCCGCTGAAACTTTTCAAGCATCGTAACGCTACCTACAGCCTGAATAATCAACATGTAGGGAACAGTACCATTGAATACACTGTAATTGACAATGAAAAAAAGCCCAAAATATTCTATGGCAGTATATCGAATATTTTCACAATCAGATATTGTCTTGGGGTGCAAAATCAACCTATCACCGAAATGTGGATTGAAGTAAAACGATTCGAAAATCTCAACAAGTCTGATAGTGCAAAGAATCCCTACTCTGGATGGCCTCACTTGAAAACAGTAGTTCTTTATTCTCATGCAGATTCTGATTCGGAAGGATCACATTCTGAAATTACAATTGACCTTCTCAAGCCTGACATGATCCTGGGCCATATGGCTTGCTTTGAAGCCCCTGCACAAACATTTGGTATCGAAAAGCCGGTTATGATATTGATGGGACTTTCAAAGCATCATGTAAATAGTTGATATTGTGTTATAGCCACTTGAATTTACGTCTATTTTTTTATTTCTATCTGCTACCAACAATACTAGTAGGTCCAAGAGTGGTTATGACGTTATAATCATCATACATATTATAATCAAATATCTTGAGGACAAAATCTGATTATTTCAATGAAATCTAATGTGCCACTACATTTTCAGAGAAGAATCATATTGAGGCCGTTGAATTGGATCGACAAGGATGTCACGAGCATAATTGATCTGTAAAAGAAAAGTATGAGAATTCTGAAATAATCGGTGTACACCTTCTCAAAAGATGAGATTACAAATTCACATACAGTTGCCATCAATTGATTGTTCTTATTGTTTGTTTTGTCGGGGTGAAATTTCAGGGCCAGAGCTCTATAAGCCATTTGAATTTGCCTCGAAGTTGCTGTTTTCTTTACTCCTAACACCTGTTCAAAAATGGTAATCAGCAATAAAGATGTTAAATATTGATTGATAGGTCAACCCACATCATATAGACTCTGAGCTTCTGGTTGATAGTCGATTTCAATCTTTTTCATAAGCTTTCTGTAACCAAATCACCAATAAGTCACTCCCTTATGTGCCCTAGTGAACAAGGAACTTACTGGAACTTTTCTGCATTTTCTTTCAAGCTCATCCCATGCTTTGAAAGATAGTGTGCTTTTTGAAAATCGCCCTCAATGTAAGCAATTACAGTATCCATCCACACATTTCTCCAGGGTTCAATTACAGATGAATACCATGAACTTCTTTGCCTGATACCAACCATGTGTCATTAGCTATGGGTAGACTTATGAATGGTCTGATGATGGACTCACAAAGTTTCTTTCCTAGCCAAGCTTCTATGACCAAGCCACATCAGAGCTTCGGCATTTGAAACTGACCAAAATCCATTTAGCTGAGGAGTTGCCTTTGGAAATTTATTACGCCGCTCCTGTGCTACATCAGAAATTACTTCCACTGCCTCCTTCCATTGTTCGTTATTGAGCATGGTTTTTACGAGCTCCTTCTGGCCAATCAGCTTTCGAGATGCTGCAACCAAGGATGATACTTCTCCCCATAACTGATGTCCCCAAGAGATGCTGGTTTGATAGCCCCATTTATAGCATGGCGAGAGAATTTCCATGGCTTCATCTGGTGCGAGTAATGCTAGCTGACACCGGGAGATATCTCCGATAATGTGAATGAAGAATGTGTGTTTTTGAGGCGAGTCATGCGGTGAGTTTTGGTAGATTGCTTGGTAAATGTGGGTAAAACTTTCGAGGGCGATTTGAAAATACCCTTGATGGAATGCAAGCATGGCAGTTTGGGCCTGTAGATCAAGATGCTCTGATCCAGAGGTGCAATGGTATTGATTAGCAGGATTCCAAACTTTGCCCTTCTTGCATGCTGGCTTCTGGAAAGAATCTGATTTTCGCTTCATCGTTTCCGGCTTCACTGTTTCTAGATTTATCTTGCAAAAAAAGTCATTATCATTCCATCCTGTGCCAATTGGTCATGTACAAGTAGATGGATTGAAGACTTACAATATAATGGATTCAGACAAAGTTTTATTTTTTGGGATGCATGCTCTTTTGGTTGCTGGATCCCGATGCCTTTCACTTGCGAAACTTCTGTCAGTTTTTATGTACAACGCCATTGCAATCACAATTTTCATTCTGGGTGAAGGCTGGGTGGGTCAATCATTTGACAATTCACAAATCCCGTTGTTCCTCGACAATTGACTGGCAATGGTGTGCAAGACTGAACCTAGGTGCTCATAACACTGGAAGATCACAGTTGCTATGAAATAGGATTAATCATGTTTTGTCGCGTGGCCGAATGTAGAAACAAAAAGCCCCCCAAATGCATAATGAAAGTGACAATCGTCACGTACAATCGTCACGTAACTGTTACGCATGAGCTGGGAGCTCATCCGTTTATCCATTGTGCAGAGTACCTATCCCCCCAGATCGTCAGTCAAGTGCCTGACTTGTTTGATCCACATCTCAATAACTAACATAACCATTGTAATTCTTAAATTTTCAGCCAATGTTTTCTCGTTATCTGTTGGCGCGTGCAGTGGTAGTTTCGGCTGGAAACCTGGGTGATGTATGTAAGTATTCCCTCAGCAACAATGAGACTGGCATCTCGTCAAATGTGTAGGAATTCAGCCCTTGTATCATATCCTTTCACGACTTCCCTCACTGGCTCCCGAACCTTCCTACCTAATCTATCGCAACACATCGCATTAGTCAGGAGTTCCAAAACACAGTAAGCAACTCCCGACTTTTTTTTCGCAAAGCCATTGGACTGACATCCAGTTTACAAAACAGCACATGCACATTTGAAAGTACTTGGAGTTGGGGGCAATGTCCTACGTTTTCCATTTCTTTAGAGGTTAACCTTCCCCTCCTGTTTCGCACCCAAATTTAGCCACTTACCCTGTATCCGAAGGTTCATTTGTTGATGTATCCCAACGAATCTCAGATGGCGGGTATTGCATTCAGCTCTGGTGATCAGTAAACATAGCAAACTGATAGCCAGTGCGCTCATACCTGGCAATGCAGACGTGTATTTCTCAGTCTATGAATTTGTGCTCTGCCGAGGCCAAACTCGAAAACTCCAAGTGAAATTCAAAGCGCCTTTAGGTCAAGAAGAAATCTCACTTCAAATTTAAATCTGCTGGAAAAGAAAGAGAAAAAAAATTTGCTGGAGAGTGTGCACTCAGACAGGGTAGACTACTAGTTGGAATATCAGGTGATTAAAGACACAAGAGCAATGGAATGTACAAATTAAACGGACAATATTTCACTTGAAAACATCATCCATGTTGGTGAGGGATTCAGGCATTGTATTTAAGCCTTCAAACTCTTGTTTGGTGAGATTAATAATAAAGGATTCATCATAGCAATCTCGAGGCAGCCCAACTGAAACTCGTGTCTGAGAAGACAGGGCCCTGGTTGCATCTGAGGGTGGCAATCTTGCTGCGGGCATCGGACCCGGCTTCCTTGTTGCTGGGTCCTTGTATAGATCCTGTGTCCGCTGATCGATCTTCTCTACTAACTTGGTGGCTAACTCGCTACGGAAAGGCACTGGAATTCGATTTTTGACCTTGCCTGGATTTGCGTCATCAGATTCATCGTCAGAGCAAAGTCTATCATCTTCAAACAAGAATGCAAATCGATTGAATTCCGTCAGAGCTTCACATGTCTCTTGCCTTCGCCTTGCGACCTTGATAATTCAGAATGAGGCAATGGACGTCAGTTCAAGCATCCAAACTACACAGTTTTTCTGATTTCAACTTGCTCTATTCCTTCTTTGAATCTGACGATCAGTCTTTTGATTGCGAGACACAGCACCAGGATGTGACTCCTCACGCTTTCGTGTTCTTATTCGATGATCCAGTGCATGCATCAAGAGTTTTTGAGCTTCTGGGACTGTTGGAGGGTCAAGCTGCTGTGAATACACATCAACAAAACACTGCTTCTTACAGGCAGTGATAAAAACATCCACAACATATGCTGCCACTCGGAGATTCCACAAATGAAACTTGCTGTCTGTTGCAGTCCCCCATGAGAAATGCGAGATTCCGTATTGTCTGGCCCGTTGTCGAAGATACAACAGCAAGTTGAACGATTCTGGGTGATCTGAATCTGCCGGAGTGGGATCTATCATTGAGGAAAACTTGATTGTTGGTGATTTTGGATTTGTAAGGTGATCCCATCCAATTTTTTGGACTTCATCTATAGATATTAAGTAGGGAGCATTGGGACCTAGACTACTATACTCATCCAGGGTGAAAGTGCCGCTTTGAAGAAGATTGTCGATTGGCTTCAAAGGTTTCAAGCAAGACACATCGTCTTCAGTTGGTTGTGGCAAAGGTGGATATTTGCTCTGTTTTTGTTGTGCAAGATAGTAAAGAAAGGATTGCATAGCCCGATTCTGTACAATGAAAATGTTAAATTACTGTCCATGGAGATTGGAATGTGCCAAAAAAACATACAAGGACTTGATCATTGTGCTTCTCTGCATCAGTACGAAGGTCCGGCTGTGGGCAGAGCTGCGACAAGTTCTGTATCTTCACTTTATGCCTTCTTGTTGAGGGTTGTGCATTGTTTTGCGGTCCCCAATGAGAAGACAACGGAGAGCTGGAAGTCGCTTGTGGCTTAGTTTGTGATGGGAATCTCAGGATTGGTTGCTGGTGGTTGGAAGGTTCTGATTGTTTTTCTATTGTTGTGGAGGTCAGGATGGGTGGGTTTGTATCGTTTGTATCAAGATTCTCTTCTTCCTTATCATTTGAATCTATATTTGGAAGATTATCAGGAGATATGAATGTTAGCTGTGGCTTGTTTTCAAGCAAAAAAAAAGTTTGGAGTGCTTACCCTTACCCTCAATCATCTCGATATCTAGTTCTTGTCCCTCGCAAGTCTCTGTGTTCTGGGGTTTATCCACCGTAACCAATATTCCAGGTGAAAGTGGTATGATTGCTTCGAGATCATGAATAGTAGCCACATTCTCATTTTCCTGTAACATCATCATATTAGCCGGCAGACACACTCAAAAAAGTTGACACTAGAGGATACACACAGCTGAGTCTGTCACATTATCTCTCTTCTGTTCGGACTGTTCAATGAGATAATCATAATGTCATTTTCAGGACCTTTGCTATGAGACTAGGGAAACTAACCATCACCGTAGTGCCGGTGCCTTTTGTCTGTAAAAACTGGTCAGCCGGCCTGAACAAAGCCTTTTCCTCAAGGTCAGAAATTCGTTTCAATGCATCGTGAAGTTTCCCTTTGATATCTTGAAGGTTGGATTCTGTAGCACTGTCTCGAAAATTAAGCTTTGTCAATATTTCTTCATACTTGGCTTTAAGCTCTTCATGTGCTGATACAATTGAGCATTGGAACATCGAATACTGGTCTCCAATTGTTTTTTCTATCTGTTCGATTTTTTGGCGGGTAGTGGTAGTTTTTGCTTCATCTTCTGTAGTCGTCGGCCGATTCTCTTGCTCCAATCTGGTTTCACTAGAGTTTTTTGCCTCAATACTAAGCAGCTTTTCCTCAACAACCCTTTGGTTATTGGAGAGATCATTCTGAATCTTTCTTTCTAGTATACTAAGGCTTTCTTGTAGTGTGGAACATCCAGCTTCAGATACTGATGAGACACGCGCAATTTCAGCCTGGTTGGACTGGGATAAGATTTTTAGGGCCTCGAAAGATTCAGAGAAGAGTTGTGCTTGATTTTGAAGGCTACTGGTAGTTGCATAGTCTTTGATTGCAACGGCTTGCTCGATTTCCTGTCGGAATAAATGCTGGGAGTGGAGTATTGCTTGGTGGACAGTGGAATCCAGTTCGGCTTCAATCCCGGTCTTGAACGCAGCCAGTCTAGTTGAAATATCGTTTGCGTATTGGTTTCTCATTTGTACTGATAATTTTTCCATTCGACCTCCTACCTCCCTTGCCAACTTGTCAAAATTAGACTGTAAGACGCAAAGGTCACCTTGTGCTGTTTGATTAATCTGAAATTAAAAGCAACAGTCAAGTTCATTATAGCTCAGTCCAGCTCAAACTCTCAGAACTAACCTCCGAATTTTCCTTTTCCTTAACGCCCATCACCTGAGTATGATCGGCATGTCTTTTAGTTTGAACAAGTTGTAATTCCTCCTGTGGAAAACAAGTTAGCGTGATTCTTTCTGGAAAATTTTGTTGTTCCCACCTGGCTGGATGATTGCCCTGCTTGAAAATTCCTCTGTTGAACCCAGTCGAATTCACTTCTCCATTTCTCAAGTGAAGCCTGTGTGTTTGTACAGCTGCTTCAGTGCAAGTTCAACGCATCAAATGTGGGGATAGGAGTAATAAGGAGAGGCAGACATTCAACTCATCAAATTTTTTTTCATTCATGGATTGCATCTTGTTGGAAGTCGTAAACCAATGGTCGAATTGGAGGAAGATTGTTTCTGCTTCAGTCTGACAATCCTTCTTGGGGTCAGTAAAAACATCAAGGGAAATTCAGGAAGGTGGCCTCGCACCTTGAACTTATTAAAAGATTCCTGTATAATTTAGTGCGTTAAAATCACTTGTATACAAGCTACAACTTGAGGGAAAGGCAAACGTACCAATTTGGCTGCAATTGGATCAAATTTTTGCTGAATTTGAGTTTCACATTGTTTCAAGATTGATCTAACAGCATTTTCCCCAAGATTAATATCAGGTGCCGCAGGTTCGATCTGCTGTTGAGGTCCACCTAGCCTTGCTGAGGTCCGCACAGCTTTCCGGTTGTATGGAGTGGAATCGCGTGGCATTGTGGTTAGATGAAAGCACAGGAATGGAGCTTGAATGGTCTGACAGCAAGTGAGAGAAAAAGTGTTCTGCTTGAGGGGCAGAAAGACAGGATTTCATGCGGCAAACACACGATAAGCCTCTTGCTCACAGTCTTATGTGAGAGGGCCTCTGTACATGTAGATTGCACCCCAAAGAAGCCAGCTTGATCACCCCAAAGAAGTGAGCTTGATGATGACCACTAACATCACAACCCAGACCGTTCATGGTTACCACAAATTTGGTAGTAATGCTCTGAGGAGTTGGGCTGCGGTGGGCAAACCTGGAAACAAGAAGTTAGAGCGAAGTGTATAATCTCAAGGCAAATCCTCATTGTCTGATTGAGGAGTAATGAAAATCTGATTTGGCTTTCCAGGTCGCAAACAAGCCAGGCACTTGACCACCGATTGAATGTGAGCGATTGCTAACACTTTTACGCGAGATGAGCCCTGAGTATGCAGTTTGCATCCCAAACAGGCCAGACAATCTCCAAGCTGAACAAATCACAACCCGGGCAGCAGTCTAAGCTTGCCACTAACTTGCCACAATTGACTGACACTCTTGAAGGATGGGTACTCTGCCCAATGGATAACGGGATGAACTCCCAGCTCATGCGTAACAGTTACATGGCGATTGTCACTTTCATTATGCGTTTGGGGGGCTTTTTGTTTCTACATTTGGCTACGCGCTGGGCTGTACCTGTGCAACCGCTTGCCAACAAAAAAACTGGGAACAGTGCGCAGTGTTCTGAAGTGACCCATTCCTGTGGGTAACTGTTGAGAAAATGTCCCACAAAGCTCTCTGTGCCAGAATGCTACATAACCTGGTTTCAGTGACCCAGGTGTCATCGGTTGATTTTTTGATCAAGGACAGCCATGTGCACGTTCCTGCTTGAGGTAAAATGACTAATCCTACCTCCTGACAACTGAGATCTTTACGCCTAGGGAGGCAAAGTGCCTACATAAATTGAGTCTGGCCCCAAATTTGCCCTAAAAATCCCGGTCTACCTGGGGCTGACCAGAGGGCTCAAGAGTGGGAAAGCTCTGCAACCCAAAAGCCCTACCGGTGTCAGCCCCCATTCCCAGCATTCACACATTAAAAGACAGGACCCTACTGTAGCCATATGCATAAAAACGTAAAAATTGCTTCGAATAAGTCAATGGCTTTCAGGATAGCTAACCCCGCTCGTACCTAATATGAAGGGAGAAGAGCAGTGAGAATCAGATGTTTGAATCGGAAAGAAGGTTGAACAAAATGGTCAGGAAGGATAGCAAAGATCCAAAACTACACAAACCACTTCGAAAATCAAGTAACAATGCCAGTCAACTCCATGCAAGAGAGCGTAGGAAAAAGATGGGGTAAAAAATTAAACATGATCATACTATATTTTTTCAATATACATACGTGGAAGTGGCTTTTTTGGATTGTAGGTCTATTATGGATTTTGCATACTTTGCCAATGAGTTGAGTTTTGAGCCTTGCACGACAGTCACAACATCATGGGCCTGACCTTTTTTTCTGCAGATAAAACAGGTTTACTTGGTGAACAGCGCAGCCCCATAGTGGCACCACTCTTCAAAACATGCAACGAATCACACTTGTCTTGGCTGCTGCTCAATCAGAAAATCGAGGATGTTTCATCAAGAATAGAAGCTCTGGAGTCGAGCTTCCAAAGGTTCCAGGAGACGAATTGGGTTGAAATAAAGAAGATTAAAAGAAGCAAGTTTGGTAAGTGACCTGTTAATATGTGTTCATCTAGGACATATAGAAAGAAAGAATCTGATCATAATAAAAATTACAACATCTCTTCCAGTTCAATCCGAAGGGGTTAAGGAAGTAGCTCATGCTGTGGTGAAGGATGCGCTTCGTCAATACTCACGGGAACAAATAGGCCAGCAAGACTTTGCACTATACAGCGGTGGAGCAAGAATAATCCCTTCCCTAACATCAAAAACGTACCAAGTCGAAATGAAAGGGATGAAGGCAATATTTATTAGTTTCTGGACGGGCGCACCAAGAATCATAAGCGGAAGAGGACCAATTGCAGCTCTCAGTCCAGAAATCGAAGCCGGAATGTGCTGGTCAATCTCAGGATCGACAGGCCAACTTGGTGTTAGCCTTGCAAGAAGAATCCTAGTAACTTCAGTTTCTGTCGAGCACATTTCAACATTATCAGCTTACGAAATAGATTCATCACCTAAGGAAATGGAGGTTTGGTCTGTGGAAGACTGTACAAAATTAGTTGACATTATTTATTATCCCAAAGAATCGTCCACAATACAAACTTTCAAAGTCCCGAAATACCGGAACTATATTCAACACAATCCAGCCTTAAATCCACGACAATTACTCATAAATCAAATAGACAAAGGTTCTCTGTTTTTTCCCCCAATCTTACGGCAAAAGTTACTGTTCGTGATCAAGTCCAATTATGGAAATCCTTACTATACTTGTATTTATCGATTCAGAGTGCATGGATTGATGGAGAATGAATTGTATTTACATAATTACTGGGTGTCACCATTACCATAACCAGCATTACTCTCCATGTCAGGTTCTTGTCTCTACAAAACCTATCCTCGTAATTTTAATCTGTCCTTTTATTTCATCCTGTCTACAAATTTCTGGATTTTAAAGATCAAGTCAACCAAGAACAATATAAGAAAATGCAACGCATCTGGTCGGATTGCCCAAGTGAAGGTCGTAAATTTTCAGTGGCTGCCAAGTGGTGTGCGGGCTTTGTGGGGCACGCATTACATGGATCGGGTCCTCCTTGCAGCCACATCCCACACAGACACCTTCCCATCCGTGCTTCCCAAAACAACGTATCGACTGTCTGGCATCCATGACCTGTCAATCCAAGAAAAAAAACAAGTCCCAGCTAAATGTTCAGCCATACTATGCGGTTAGATATGGCAGAATGTCGAAATACCTTCTAGCTGCACCAAGATATCCCCATTGAATGTGTCCAACACGTAATGAACATTGCCTGCTGTCCCAACCAGAAGCTTCGATCCATCATTGGAGAACTTGAGCGAGGTGAACAAATTGGGTGGTGGGTGTGGATATGAGATTCTAGTGTGATGTAAATGGAACGTTTCCAACTTCTTAGCGTGTTTCTTGTATTTATATCGGCAAGTTCAACTCACCTTTGCTTGTGTCCTTTGAAAAGTGGAATGTATCTGTTATCATGTAAGGAATGGTATTGAATTGTCTAGTCGACACCTGTTCCTTGTGTTTGATCCGGCAAGTTCGCTAACCATCTGCTTTTGTTGATGCGTGGATGATGGCCGATGATTTGTGAGTAAACCGGGCGAGAGAACAACCGTACTTTTTAGAGAGTGCCTGTTTTAGATGTCTGGTGGAATGTAAATTAATCAGGACGATGGATATTCGATCAGATACTCAAGATCAAGTGAATTAAGCAGCACTGCTTACTTCCAGCTACTCCGCAACAAAACCACCAATCTATCAGCTCTCGACTTGAGTCTTGAAAGAAAGTACATATATACCATCAATTCAGGACGTCCAAGAAAAGCGTTTCCTCCGGGGGGGGATTCCTAAATTGAAAACCATAAAATCAGAAATTGTCAAAAATTATGTCAAGATGTTTGATCTGGAATCTGGATCCGATCATCCTCCGGAATCCGGTGCTCTGTGAGTTTGCATGTGATCGCCTGGCTGACGTATTCACCAGCCTGCGACTCGATCCGACGTCGAAGAATACAACAAGCTTACCTCCCATCCTTGTCGTGTTCTTGTCCATCGGCATTCTGTTGAGTGTTGACCACCATGATATGCATACATGCATAATCGAAGAGAATGAACCATTGAATTTTTGGAGGAGAGTGTAGCCTAGTAAAGACCAGAAGAGGATCGAGGAAGGTCTGATGATGACGGAGAGGGCGATGAGGAGGATGGAGAAGGAGAGATTGGCCCATGAGGAGGAGATCTCAGCCGGGTTCCAGGGCCAATAAGCGAGGGCGGAGGCAGTGAGTGCGGTTTCGAGTGAGTTGGAGAAGGTCCTGATGCCCGCATAGGCGTTGAAGAGTGAGGTGAGGGAGCATGCCAGCTGTCTAGTCAGTCAGGAAGACAGGCCAGATCTCAATCAGCTTTTCTTTCTTCAGACCCCCGCGACGGGAGATCGGGGCCGACTAACCGCAGCAGCCGCGGAGGATGGGGTCAAGAGGACGCTGGCCAGGGGGTAGGTGGCCAGATCGGTGACTGTTGCGATTCCGGCTTGGAGGACTTTGGGCAGGATGATCTGAGTGGATAGGCAGGGGGTGTTAGGGACGATCGACTGGCGAGGATGGAAGCAAGAGAGAGAGAGACATACAAGGAGCCGGGTGTGGTCGAGACGGAGGATGCGGAGGAGCCAGTAGAGGGGGACGAAGAGGAAGGGGTGGAGTGGGCTCCTGATGCCGCCGGTGGAGCCGTCGGGGAGTGGACGCCATTCCCAGCTCTGATATACGTAGCCGAAGACGAGCCGATGGGCGATCTCTAAGGATTGGTAGTACTCGTCTGGCTGGAAGTACGTCCGACAGAGCAGCGCGTTGAGTAGTCTGAAGAGGTGGATCGCCCCGATCAGACGCAGAGTGATGGCTGCCATCGTCGGCTGGCGTTCGTCTCTTTTGAGTGTTGTGGTTGATTCCAGTCGGCTGAGCTCACCCCAGTGTGTATTCGATCGCTTGCTTTTTTTTAGGGGGGGGGGTCTGAGTGGGTATGTAGCCCTCTGCGCTCAGACCCAACCGAACCAGCTGCAGTCGGCTTTGGCTTTATGTATAAGGTTCGCCATCTCCCTGCTTCAAAAACGAGGGTTTGTGGTTTAGGGCACCACAAAACACTCTGCCTGGTCCGCAGAGTGTGGAAAGTCGGATTCGTTCGATCTTCCCTATTTTCAGACCCAAAAAAAGAGTCGGAACCGTTTCTCTTTTCTTTCTTTTTCGTTTTTCGCCTATCTTCTTTTCTCTTTCTTTTTTCTTATCAAATCTCGGCAGTCTTCATTACTCAGTTTCATTTAATTCAGAAAAATAAAATACTACTAATTATCTTTATTAAGTTGTATTCTCAAACAAATAGTTCAAAAACATCATCGAGTGTATCTACATAGAATGTATTACTAAAGTGCGCATGTCATCATCAGCCTAATGAATAAAAAAAAAAAGGTCCGCATCTACCGCCTCTCTTTTGTTTTTTTTCTAAAGTGCGATTTCGCCGGTAGCATTGCACCTCCTTGGATCAGCCAATCTCAGTCAACACCCCGGCTGAATGAGTTTATGTCAGCCGGCCGAACTTCCAAGTAACTCCCTCCCTTTCATCCACCCCCAACTGCCCAAGCCACCCCCAACACACCACCACCATGGCCTCCACCACCCAGCCTCGCAAGAAATCCAGGCAGTCCATCTCAACCAACACACTCACCAACAACAACCCAAGCACCACCACCAGCACCTCATCCTCAAAATCATCAGCACTCAAACCCACCCTCAAGAAACGAAACAAGAGTCCGATCTCGTCAAACTCGGTTCCTCAAGGGTAGTGCTCCAAAAACTTGAAGAGGAGTCAGAAGAAGACAGACGAGTGTGTTGCAACAAGTCTAGATAGTGTAACTACCGGTTTGGGAATCATGCTGATCAGATATCTTTAATTTTGATCTTCACCAAGGACAAGGACCCGGACACCAGAATACTCACATACGCCAATAATCTTCATCTTCGAGCGAAGACCAATCATCCGGGAACGGTGATAGCTTTGCTATCCAATGATAATATGTTGCGCTTGCGAGCGCAATCTGAAGGTGTCTGTTCTGTAGCCATGGCAGACTTTCGCCACAGCCCTCGTCAATTAGTTGGCTATATCCGCAAAATCGTTCCTGATCCTAGGAATCCAGCGATCTCAACTCCCTCTAACCCCTCGCCGCTTAATTGTTCACATCCACCCGAAGCAATCACTCCCAAGCGCAATTCAACGATTAAAACGAGTCAACCCTCTTCCAATTCTTGCGTGCTCCCAGGCCATGATGGGCAGTTCACCTTTACATCCCTCTTACCAAGTACTAGCCAGCAGCCCTCGGGATCGGCCAATCGGAGCAACCAGATCACTTCGGAACCACACCTTCCCTCAGGCCAAGGTCGACAGTTAATCTTCACCTCCCTCTTGCCGAGTAGTAGCCAGTCATCACCCGTTGGGCCTGATCAAGAATTGATTCGACTCAAATCTCTACTCCAGAGGGCTCGTCCATGTCGAAGCTGCAAGTCTGTCATCGAAACCACTCCGCCGGTATGCTGTTTCGCTGAGTTTCTCTTGTAAACGCAATACCGACTTTATTCGTCTCCAGGTCTCCCCGGATCAGATTCATCATTACTGCCCGATGTGTTGTGAGGTCATTTGCAAGGGATGCATGAATGTCACCGGATGCGACTGGAGTTGTTCAGGACCGTTTCATGGACAGGATTGTCCAACGATAAAATGCTGCGCCACCGGTCGAGCATCAATTTGGATCGAGGTAAAGTGTTTATTTATATATTTTTGCTTCACGCTTGGCACAGTGGAGCTTGCTCATAGTGATTGCTTAAATCACGCCCTGCTTTCTTTCAATAATAGCTGTTAGGGCAACTTGATTCTTGCTTCCTAATGAATCAATACAAAATATCTTTCAAACATGGTCCCAAGATAACTCACCTATACGGCGACGAAGCTTTGGTCGAGTATATGAACGCCGCAAATGGATTGTTGATCGCCAGTGGAGACGATGACGAGCGCTTGGGCTACCTTGGATCTATACTCATCAGCTCAACATTGATCGATGTTCTCAGTCAGACATTTCTATGTTCTCCCCTCTTGAGTTGGCACTTTCGGGCGGAACTATTCCTAAGCACAATTAGTGTGGTTCAAGGAATCCTCCAGAAGCTCGATCAGCCTTGGAAGATCCTCAACTCGGAATTTGTCAAATCAAGCACCACTGGTATCTCTCCTCTTGATCATCGGCAGCACAAAATCATATGGAATAAGATCTCTGAAAAGGATCATCGACCTAATTCGACTGAAACGAAACTCGAAAAGCTACAAGACTCGTTCCCCGGTTTGATGGCCGATGTTGAGGAAATTCTTCATAATCGTAGAAAGCCCATGATAAGTATGTGTAAGCCCATAAGCAGGTATTTGTGGCTGTGTAAGTTGTAGGAAGTGGTTTGGCTCCTCTTGAAGTCTTGCAGTTTACCACTCGGCGCTGCCCTCTCTCAGACAATCGATCAACCAAAACAGTGTAAAGTCTTCTCCATCTCAACCTCACTCCCTCAAGAGTATCATACTAACCCCTTCCTTCTCTTCCCGGGCCTCATCTCCAGACCAGATCACTATCATCAGACCATCAATCGACCCAAGCTTGCACGGGTGAGTTTGTCTAGCTTTTCCTATCCATCCCCCCAATCTACTGTTCATCTTCTCATCCGGATATCAAGTGAATATATAGACATATCGTATACTAACTGAATTCTGCCCTTACAGCTAGTACCACCGCATAACCTTGACAAACCATTCCCAGTGACCATCCTCATCACACTTATATCCACCCACCCTGCCTCTCTTCCAAGCTTACTCCCCCCATCAACCAGCTGGAGCAGATTCGGATAAACTAAAGCTCTTTCATACAAACTCGTTCGATCACCGATAACCCTAATCTTTCTTTTTCTTCATTAAACATGTCCTCAGTCGTTCCTACTCCACTCACATCCGTCTCCTCTAACGCTCAACATGGCTCAACCAGCTCCGATCCCACCTTCCGAAAGAGTGCTACCTTCACTAGACGCAGCGGAAGTAGGGCCGATGGTCGTGGTTCTATCGTTGTCCATACCAGGTCAGTATTTTAATCTTCAAACCTTTTCCCTCTCATCTTTCTCTCTCTCTCTCTCTCTCTCTCTCTCTCTCTCTCTCTCGGTCTTGCTCTCCTCGTCATCCCCCATCGGCTTCATTTTACTATCAGCACTTTCGATCAATCTTCAACTTTCATCATCCTGCTGTCCTCAAGCCTCCAAACCAAACCCCTCGGTAAACCGCGATCTCCCGTCTCCTCTTCTCTCTCCGTCAATCTCACCAGGGCGCTTATCGTTCCGTATAAGCCGCTTAATTAATTAATAATCCATCCTTCCATCGATCACTTGACCTCTTATTTCCATGGGTGGTGAATCAGCCATCGGCTTCAGTCATCTGTCTGTTAATCCTCCACCTGGCTATATTCCATCGATTGGAATAGCTTATCCAACTAAGCGTGCTATCTCCCTTGTCATCTTGGGCACAGCAGTAGCGACTGCTGTAAAATTGCCATCAGTTGATTAAGCCTCCTCAGTGACCAACTAAGCCCAAGCCGTGTAGATTTTCTAGATCAAAAATCCCGATTGAGGAGCGGAGAGCTTATCAAGTTTGTTTAACTTGACCTGATGACCTGACATTTGTTAGCTGCACGTCCATCTCGATTCATATTTTTGTAGCTCATCATTGCCATTACTTGTCTTGGCTCTCACCTTCTGCTGCTTGATCCTTAGCAAAACCTGAAAGCCCTCTCACTAACATTGCCTCTCCATCGTCTGTTCATATACTCACCTTGACTCTTGATTCTCATCCCATCGACACCGTCTTGCTTTGCATGTTCATCGCCCGCACCGACGCTTTGGTCCATCGATATTTCATCCGCCCCTCATTTCAACAATCCCTCATACAACACTCGCACATCGTATTGCTACCTTCGACGTTATGCCCCATCGCGCCCTGCCCTTGGCTACTCCCTTACTCGACTTACCTTCTGTCTTCGACATATCTCCCATCTCCACGCCCGGCGACGCCCCACCTAATCTACACGTCAAACGTACTCACTCGCTATTGGAAAACCACCCCTCCTTTGTCGCCGCCCTCCATCGCAATCAACACCTGCTCACTCATGTCCTAATACCACTCGATCGCTCACGCTCACTGCCGCCTGGACAATCTGGGCTCGGGAATACCCTGTTGTCCCGCCGCTCTGCATGCGTCAAACGAACTGCTTTACATCTTACCGATTCCGTCGATTGTGCCCCCCTGCTCGACTCACCTACTACCTTGGTCGGATCTCATCTTCACTCTAGAACCCATGACAATGCCCAACTTCCCCATGCGACTAAGATGCAGATGGCGGATTACCTTAGGAAATTCGAACATCTTTTCATGGTCACCCCTCAACGGTTTGTTTTCTACCCTGCTATCCGTTTCTATCAGCCTATCTGTTCCACGTGATCCATCACATTCACACATGAGTTGGGTTTCCAGATAATGTAGAATGTGAATGATCGTCGAGGCATTTATCGATACCCTTGAAGCAGGTTTGAAAGAGGATGGACAGTGCGTTGTGAGCATATCCAAAGTTTCATGATGTCAAGCAAAAAAGAAAAAAAAAATAGGCTCATGCGTCCCCTGTAGCCTATGATACCCACATTTGTGTTTGGATGGCCAACCGGCAAGGAAGTTGGCCCATACTTGGCCGTGGACTTGGGTAAGCTGATGCCCTCCACCCATCATGCCAACCGCTGCCAATTAAGAGACATGTTCTTGAAACTCGGGTCAGTGACCTTACTCGTTTGCTACTTTCTCTCTTAAAACAGGCGGTACCAATTTGCGTGTATGTCATGTGGAACTGCAGGGTGATGGCAGGTTTGAAATCACCCAAGCAAAATACAAATGACGGATGAGCAAAAGCAACAAGAAGGAGAAAAGTTATTTGACTTTTGCGCAGAATGTTTATCCAAGTTGAG